TGAGTCAGGCTTTATTACTGTTGTCGGAAAGACCGTTAGCACAGTGCTCCCCCCCCCCCCCCCCCCCTCCCGTGAGTGACCAGCACCAAGCCCTCCATCAGAAGCTGGAAATCCTGGAATTCACATGGCCAATTATGCAATACTAGACCACTGGGAAGCATTTCTGGCTGGCTCAGCTGGTGATCCGCTTTTACCCTGCAGCACCACGATTGATAGACCTTGTAATTTTATCCTGGTTAGTGCAGATGCTGTTCTTAGCTAAGTTTTTATTTTTAAAAACTCTTTTTCTCAAAAACAACAACAAAGACCTAACCTTAGCCATTTTTTCCCAATGGTTAGAGCATCAGCTTGGGGAATGGTCTCAGGTTGGATTCCGGTCAGGGGCATGGATTGTGGGCTCAATCCAGGGCCCCTAGTTGGGGCACGTGTGGAAGGCAACCAATTGATGTGTGTCTCTTACATTGATGTTTTTCTCTCTCTGTCTCTCCCTCTCCCTTCCACTGTGTCTAAAAATCAATGGAGAAAATATCCTAGGGTGAGGATTAACACCACCAACAACAAAAAAAAACCCTACCCCGTTCCCAAGTGGCTTGTCTTCATGACACCTCTTGGTGGTGAGATCAGTACCCTGATCACTGGCTAGGGGGAAAAAAATCTCTTTCGAGATTTCAGAATTCTCAGTAGTTTAACTTCACTGAATGCTGTGTGTGTGCTTGTTTATGAGAATGAATGAAAAGAAACAGTATTTTGGCCCCCTCTAAATCACTCCTTTTATGAGGCTTCTTTGGGTGTGAGGGGGATGGGAAAGAGACTTGTTCTTAGAAGGCACAGAATACAAATTCAGGAGTGTAGTTTCTCTCATGCTAATGATGAGGCATAATTTTAAAGCATCACATTCATATGTATATATGGGGCATACATACATAATTAGTACATTTACAAAGTACCTCGCAGAACCTTAGAACTTGGTAGTTCCATTAACCCTTAAAGGGAAAGTTGGAGTTCAGCTCAGTTAAGCGCAATAGAATGTGCTTCCTTTCCATTAGATTCACATAGCATCCAGGTCTTGGAAAGAGACCTCCAAAGAAGTGAAATACTTTTTTTTCATATGGGGCATACATACATAATTAGTACATTTACAAAGTACCTCGCAGAACCTTAGAACTTGGTAGTTCCATTAACCCTTAAAGGGAAAGTTGGAGTTCAGCTCAGTTAAGCGCAATAGAATGTGCTTCCTTTCCATTAGATTCACATAGCATCCAGGTCTTGGAAAGAGACCTCCAAAGAAGTGAAATACTTTTTCTTTTTTCCTGAAGAACTGTAGCAGTCTGTTCCATATTTATCTATTTCTGCAGTTTTAATTACAAAATAAGCACTAGCTACTACAAGGAATAACTACACTAGCCAAAAAGACTTTTATAATCTGAGAGAAATGCTCCCATATTGACTACACTAAGAAAAACAACTCCCCTTGCCTTGATTATAAAGAAGGAAGACAGATGGCTTCTTGTTTAAGGCTCTAATTTTACTTTCAGCCTCCTCCCTCCGTTAAAAACAGAATGTACTTTGAGGCTTTAAGGGGAAAAATCTCAAGGGGAAGGTTTTTTTTATTTTTTTTATTCCTGGCTACACTGAATAATTCAACACACATTTGAGATTGCTGAGGGAAAGACAAAAGAGAAGACGTTTTCCCTTGTTCTCAGGGAGTTTGCAATCTAATTGTGAAGAATTGGGGCTGGAGCCATTAAAGTTTTATTTTTTCACTTCTATTTAATGACTGTTACTGGTAGCACTTAGAATTCACCACCCCAGCAGCATGATGGGCATTCTGATAAAATTCAAAGAGAACGTAGGAAGAATGCAGAGGAAGAACTAATCACCTCAAGCAGGACTTGCTGAGTGCTTGCTGATGTGATCTAGTCTGGACAACCTTTGGAGGTCATCCCTATTATTCCTGTGTCACAGAGGAGGGTTCGGAAGTGATTCCTCCAGTCACAGACCGAGGACATGATACTGCAGCACATCCACTAGGATTTCTCCTGTGGCCTTTTCTTTGGCTGTCCCCAGGTTCCCATCTTCATTTGCTTAGATTTCCTTTCCAAAGCCCATTTAGAGTCAACTTAGTGCTGTGCTATTCCTCCCCCTTAGACTCTGGGTAATCCCTAAAACTTGCTGTCTTTTATTTGGTCAGGCCGTCTAGAGTCTCATGGCTTTGCATCTTTGCAAAAAAACTTTTTTCTTTCTTTTTTTAACTGATTCTGTCTTTGAGACATTCTTTGACAGGATGAAACATGTAAAAGGCTTGTAACTGCCTGGTACCGGCGATCCTCTTCATATTAACCATGATCTGTAGTTTTATCCCCACCACCTAGTAACTGTTCTCATCTCACACCATTTCCCAAGGACTCTGCGGGGCTGCACATTTCCTGAAGGCAGTGACCACGCCTACTCTAACTCTCGCCTCACCACAGTAACCACAGGTCCCTGTAAGCCAGCAGAAACTTGTCTCTTTTGTTCACCTCTTTACTCCCAGTGCCTACAAGTTACTGGGACTTAGTATGTCCTCAGTAAAAATTTAAAATATGAATGAATGCTTGATTATTGTGGACTACCCTCCACATAAGACAGCTTAGTTCAGAGCCAATATGGCCCTGGGTAACTTTTTTGGGTGCCTTTTATTACGCTCTTGTTTCAAGGCTCAGTTTCCACATCGGCAAAATGGGGCCGGTAGCAACAGATGCTTGCTCCTCCTCGTCTTCCATCACTTACCCCTTTTCCAGGGAAGGTTTATTGTGTTCGCTTTCCTCTGGATAACAAGCGGCCGTCGAGGACTTCGAGTTGCGCTCCCAGCGGGGACAGCGAGCAACTCCGCGTGCCTGGCCCGCGTCTCCCGGGCCCGGAAGCAACCCG